CGGCGCGGCGCGGCCACTGCCGCGGCCGTTGCCCGCGGGCGTGGCCTGGGCGGCCTGCCCCTGCGCCTGCAAACGCAACTGTCACGCACGACGCGCGACGCCCCCGGCACGCGCGGGCGACCTTGGCTGCGCGGTCGAACTCGTTCTCGGCAGACCGCAGAAAAAAAGCGCGACCGCGGTCGCGTCCGACGCACTCTGGCGAACGGACGCCCCGCGCGTCGCCCCCAGGGTTGGTCCAGAGCCGCACACTGGCAGACAGCGGACCACACCCCGGCCAGCCGCCCCACCTTAAGAGTGCACGCTAGGCAGGCGGGGCGCTGCAGACATGACCGGGCGCTTGAGAACCCGCCCCGCGGCCAGGCGGCAAAGAGGAGACATCACGACCGTGCACGGAGGAGCGGAGGGAGGAAGGACCCCGACGCACGGCCGCGCGGCACGCCAGCATGCCCGCGCGGGGCCTGGCCCGCCCGACGTAGCGGCGGCGCGTGGCGGGTGGACATGCGGGCGCCCGCCATCGCGCGGTGCGCCGACGGCGGGACACTCCCGCCTGGGGGCGTCGACTTATGACTTGCAATAACAAGTTATTACTGCCCAAGAAGTCGGATCTAGAAAAGTGGTCCGCCCTTGGGCGAGAGCGTCATTCTGAACGAAGGGAGAAAAGCCGCGATCCGGAAATGAGGCCCGCGCTTCAGCGCGAGCACCATTTAGGAAGGACAGAGAACGTTTGGATTGTAACACGCGTGAGACAAAACAACAATCGTTGACATTATGTTCCTCCTCCTCCTACCCCTATTCCTCCTCCTCCTCCTCCTCCTCCTCCTCCTCCTCCTCCTCCTGCCTCCACCTCACAGCGTCTTGACAGTATGCTAGACAATAATGATCGAATACTCGATTAGCCTCAGGCGCAATCAAAACACGCAGGAGGCAATATTGTCGGTACCCCCGAGTTGCAGGCGAGGCGCAGCTGCTGTGTTCAGGAACCCAAAGACGAAGATTGCGTATGCTGTGCGATATCTCGATACTCACATCACCCCGACTCAGGCGTTCAGTCGAAAGCTGAATCGGAGGATCGTCGCGATGAAGGCTTTCTTCTTTCGGCTAGGCAACTTCTGGATCCAGACGGGGGATCCCATACGATGGAGGAGGCGTGTGCTGCTGTGTCATATACTCAACACGGCCCTCTCAAGTGTCGAGGCGTTCCTTCATAGCTCAAACCAACGTCAGACCTTTCAGTACACTCTCGCTGCACTGGCTCGGAAGGCAACGAGAGGAGAGGCTAGCTGGGAGGATGACCAAGGAAGGCGTCGCTCGCTCTCGTCCGCGCAAGCTTAGTTTTTTGGGGAATGGTCCCCATCTCGGTCGAGCTCCAGGTCAGGTGCCTTCGATGGTTCCAAGCGTACCTTCGACTCAGCACGATCACGCACCACATCTTGCGGCACTGCTCGGCATCATGAACGGGGAGGAGGTCTTCACGGAGCACAGCACGATTCACCCACAGGCACTCCCATGGGCTGTTCAACAGCAGGAAGACATCTACACGATGGAGTTCAGAGGCTGCGGATATTTGGGATAGGCCTAGGGAGTTCGCCCAAATACTGATCCAGATCGAGGCGATTCAATCATCTCAGGCGGTCCATGGTGCGGTCAAGCTCTCCCGGGCCTTCACCACATGTAACCAGCGCATCGTTTGTCATGACATCTTCTGGGACAGAAAAACTGCAAAAGCAGTTGCACGGGTCCATCTTACACGGCACACAACGATCACGCGTGCTCCCAGCTTCCTGAGGTTCCAGAAGCTCGACCGGGGCGAGCGAATGGACGTGGAATGAAGTCCCAGATGCTCTCTGGCCTATGGCGTGGCTATTCCCGATGGGCAAACGCAAGGCACTGGAGGAACGAGACGGATCATCCCAAACCAAAACGCTAGTCACTGCAGCCCGTGGTAGCGACGGAGGCAGAGGAGGAGCAGGAGCAGGATCTTCCAGGTACCAGACAGCTGCGCTGGACAACCCGACCGTGCAGCGGATAGCACTTCAGACGCTTGCCGACTCCAGGAGCATCGCAGAGCTCGAGGCCAACGCGAACGACGCCTCCCTGCTGGCTCCGGAGACGTGGCTGGCCAAGGCAGGTCTGTTGGCCAACGAGCTCTACACGAAACTCACCGTGGAGGACAAGAAGAAACACGGATCCGACCAGACCGTAGACATCGCCAGCCTGGACCCCCCATTCACCACCGCGCTTCGTCATGACGAAGATTCGCAGGCGCGCGACCGAGGGAGCTCGCAAAGACAAGATGAAACTGTTCTGTACAAGGTGCTCACACACACACACATCAAGGACAAGACGCCAGCGGACCTCAGCTCATTCGCCACGTCTCGTTCCAGGTGCCACGAGGGAAGAAGAGCAGGCGAATGGAGAACATGGTCGAGCTCGAGCTGAACGTCATCACGACTACGACGGGAGGCAGCCTGCTCCAGACGCTGCTGCACCGCACGCTGCAGGAGATGAACGCTCAGAGGCTGGAAGGGACCGCGCCCAGGAGCCAGGCAGAGCACAAAATCCAAAAATGGTCCACGAAAAGACTGTTTAGAGTTCGAGGAGATTGATTGGCATGGCGAAGTGAAGAGAAATTTCTCGCATGTGCCACTGCCTCGAGCATGTCTTCTGGTGGGTTCCTGAGCGCACCTTCATCTGAGCCACGCGGGGTAGCAGCTTCGTCGGCAGGCAACTCGAGTTCCGTTCAGGTCAGCTCCAAGATACAGAGCAGTTTGCTCAGCTCTGACGCTTCTCGTGGTGAATCGCTGGGGATGTCTTCTGCCGTCGCCACGAGTGCACCGCTGGGCGCACACTGCCGTCTCTCGTTCCGCTTCCTGTTCCCTGCACTCTCTGAGGCCTTCTGGTCAGCGCCCGCCTAGGACGGAGCCAGTACCGCACAGGTCGTCCTCTACCCCTCCCCCGCTCCGGCTTCCCTCCAATCGCTGCCCGTGCGCCAAGGGGTCCCGTCAAAGCCACTCGTGCCACAAGAGGGCATTGGTCCGTCCGGATCGCGGGTGCTGGGCGGGAAGCAAGGGGGAGGGGGGAGGGGGAGGGCGGGGGAGGGCGGGGAGGCAAGGGGGGGGGAGGCAAGGGGGGGGGGGAGGGGGAGGCAAGCGGGGAGGGGGAGGGGGGGCAAGGGGGGGGGTGAGGGTGAGGGCGGAAAGGCGTGCGGCCGCCGCTGCTGATCGCGCCCTTGGGCGCGAGAGCTCGGCCGTGGAGCCGAGGCGTGGCAGCCCACTTGGGGCGCGGGGGGGGGGGCCGACACGCCGCCGCAGCAGCAGGCAGTGCTGACGCCCGCGGGCGCCCCAAGAGGGGCCTGCCTCCCGGAGGGGTCTGCCTCGGTGCCCGCCGAGGGCCCTCCCGACCAGGGGCCTGCTGCGGAGGTCTCGCCATTTCAATCGCGGACGGTTACGCTGCCGTCTTCGTCGTCGCAGGGACGAGCAAATCGGCCTGTAATCGTCGCGGGCATGCTTGTCTCAAAGTTTGGGATCGTCCCCGCCGTTTCAGATAAGGTGAGAGATGCCTCCTCCTCCCTCTTCATCTGATCCACATCCTTTCGCATCGCATTATCCTCACTGCTCCTCTACTCTCCTCCGCTCCTCCCATCGCCTAATCCTCCTTCGCATGCTACTCCTCGTCGTCGTCCTCCTTCTCCACTACCCTCCATCCTCCTCCTCCCCCTCCTCCTCATCCTCCTTCTCCTCCTCCTCCTCCTCGTCCTCCTCCTCATCCTCCTCATCTTCAGCATCATCATCCATCTGCTGATCCCTTTCTTCTCCTCCTAAGACACTTCCTTGTCCTGCTCATTCTCCTCCTCTTCCTATTCCTCCTCCTCTTCCTCATCTTGTTTAATTTCCTCCTTCCTCTCCCTCCTCATTCACCTCCCTTCTCATCCTTCTTGATCCGGCAGTGCCCCTCCCTGCGTAAACCCCTCGGCGACAACAACGACGACGAACCACCACAACCGCGACGACAACGACAACCGTATCTACCACGACGACGGCGTTGACGACGACGACCACGACGAAGATCCCGACCACGACGATGACGACCACGACCATGGCGACCATCTCCAACGCCACCACCACGATGACCACGACGACGACGCTCACGACTACTACGACGATGACGACGACGACGACGACGACGACGACGACGACCACGACGACGACGACGACGACGACGACGAACAACGTTGACGACCATGACGACGAAGACCACCACCACCGCGCCTTTGACGACGATACGAAAGACTACATCGCTGTCCTAATGCATGGGGAGATAGAAAGACACCGCTCCCCCAGCAGGCCACCCATGAGATCCAAGAAGGCGAGAGCGAGGAACGGCAGCGGTATCGGCACTCGGAGAGTGAAACAAGGACCACCGCCACCGAGAATCCACCATGGGGCAGGGGGGGGGCAGGGCAACCTCAGGGCGATGGCACAACCTGGGCGCAACCGCAGCACAGGACGACGCTCGGGCGTCAAGCCGCCCAGTGGTCGCCCTCCCCCCCGACGGGCTCTCTGTGGCGGTGGTCCTTGTGAAATAGAGCTTCGGGCTGCCCACAGACAGCCCCCCAGACAGTCCTGGCAGGCTTCCACGGGCACCCCGCCTTGCCCAGGGCGCCCTCGCCCCAGGGGGGCGCTGCCTGCGCGCAAGCCGAAGCCTTATAACCCGTTCCGGCGGTCCCTGCCCCACCTCGGAGGTGCCTCGCTCCCCCGAGCGCGAGGGCTGGACACGAGTGGCTCTCGGGCTGCAGCTCGGGCCTGCAGCGGCCCGTCGGAGCGATCCCGGCGCCCCCGGAGGGCTCTCGGCGAGGCGCAGCTGCTGGAAGGCATCCCGGGGGCCGGACGTTCGCCGATGGCCGCCGCGACGAGCGTCCGAACCTGGGGGCGGCTGGGCGGTCTGAACTGGACGGGCCCCGAGAAGAGGCGGTCACGGCCGCCGTCGTGGTGCGAGGGCGCCTCCCTCGAGCGGCGAGCTCGCCAGCCAGCCCGCCAGCCCGCCCAGCAGCAGCGCCGCGGGCCGGAGGCCGCAGAGCACGACCGTGGCCCCGACAACGGCCTCTCTCGGAGCAGGCGCCGTCGCCGCCGCCGTGCACACGTGCTCGCGCCGCGGGGGGGGAAAAAAAAAAAAAAAAAAAAAAAAAAAAAAAAAAAAAAAAAAAAAAAAAAAAAAAAAAAAAAAAAAAAAAAAAACGGGACCGGTGCTGGCAAAGGTCGGCCTCCCGGCGCCCTCGTCGGGCCCCGGGGCTGTCAGAAGACGGCCCAGGATGAGAAGCGCACCCTGGCGAAGGGGCCGGGACTTCCGGGGGCCCCAGATTGACAAACGTGCCATCGTCGTATCATCGCCGTCGATTCTCGTCCGAGTCGATCGATCGTCCTCACCGATGGCACCGTCGCCGTCGAATACATCGTCGACATCGTCGTCGTCGCCGTCGTCGTCGGCGGCGGCCTCGTCGTCGTCATCCTCGTCGACCTCCTCGTCCTCGTCGTCGTCCTCGTCGTCGTCCTCGACGTCGTCCTCGACGTCCTCCTCGACGTCGTCCTCGACGTCGTTCTCGCACACCACCGTCGATCTAGACGCCGTCGTCGTCGTCGTCATCGGCGTCCGCGTCGTCGCCGTTGTCGATCGGGCGTCATCAGTCGGTTGGAATCGTCGACTTGGACGTCGTCGTCGCCGTGGTTCTCCCCGCCGACGTCGTGAACCGAACTAAACTCGCTTCTGGAGGCTGTCGGGCCTTCCTGGTTCCTCCTGCGTGCGCCCTCGCGACCCGCGGGTGGATCCGCCCCGAAGTCCTGGCAAGGACGCGCCCTGGAAGAGGTCAGGCGGGGTCGTGGTCGCCGCCACCGCAGTCGCCACCGTCCGCCGTCGTCGGCGCCGTCGCCGTCGTCGTCGCCGCCGTCGGGGGGGGGCAGAAAGTACCAATACTGCTACTCCCCGGACCTTTGCCAGGGCGCGTTCTCACCAGGATCGCAAGATGATTGCAGACGTGGCGACGAAAGCTTTCCAAGACGACTGAACCAACGCCTGGGCATGCAGCTTTCAGGGGCGTCGATCGCCCACCCATGGAGCACAGCATCAAAAGCAACCCCTCCTCTTCCTCCCATTCCTCCTCCTTCTCCTCCTCCTCCTCCTCCTCCTCCTTGTCCTCCTCCTCCTACTCCTCCGCCTCCTCCCCTCTTCGTCCTTCTCCTCCTCCTCCTCCTCCTCCTCCTCCTCCTTGTCCTCCTCCTCCTCCTCCTCCTCCTCTTCCTCCTCCTCCTCCTCCTCCTCCTCCTCCTCCTCCTGCTCCTCCTCCCCCCCCTCCTCGTCCTTCTCCTCCACGTTCCCCTTCCATGCTCCTCACGCATCCTGTTGACCCACAAGCGGCCTCCAAGGCATCTGCGAGCCCCTTCTTGCAGGGAACCACGTCGGGAGTCGTCGCGCCCCCCGACAGCACAGACCGCGCAGCGTCAGCGGCCTCGGCAGCCCCAGCGCAGGCGAACGGGGACGCCCTGATGAACCGGTGCAGCTCCTGGGGGGAGTTTGCAATAGCTACTCTGCGTTCGGCAATAGGACTAGTATTATCTCTCCTCCTCTTCACCCTTCACCTCCTCCTCCTCCTCCTCCTCCTCCTCCTCCGCTTCCTCCTGCTCTCCTCCTCTCCTCCCTCCCCGTCCTCCTCCTCCTCCTCCTGTTCCTCCTCCTCCTCCTCTCCTCCTCCTCCTCTCCTTCCCTCCCCTCCTCCCCCTCCCTCCTCTCCTCCTCCACCTCCTCCTCCTCCTCCTCCTCCTCCTCCTCCTCCTCCCCTCCTCCTCCTCCCCTCCTCCTCCTCTCCTCCTCCTCCTCCTCCCTCCTCCTCTCCTCCCTCCCCCCTCCCCCTCCCCCTCCTCCTCCTCGTATTAGCCTTTCATTAGTAGTATCAATATTAGTATTATCATTAGTATTATTCATATTGGCATTAGTATTATTATCATCGTCATTATGCTTATATTCTTACTAGTAAACGAATAGTAGTATTACTAATAGTATCGTTATTAGTAGTAGTAGTAGTAGTAGTAGTAGTAGTAGTAGTAGTAGTAGTTGTAGTAGTAATAGTAGTAGTAGTAGTAGGAGTAGTAGGAGTAGTAGTAGTAGTAGTAGTAGTAGGAGTAGTAGTAGTAGTACTAGTAGTACTAGTGTTAGTAGTAATACTACTACTATTATGTATTAGTATTACTTCTACTATTACCATTAGCATTATCATTGTTCGTAGTATTAGTAATAGTAGTGGTAGTAGTAGTAGTAGTAGTAGTAGCAGTAGTAGTAGTAGTAGTAGTGGTAGTAGTAGTAGTAGTAGCCGTAGTAGTAGCAGTATTACTAGCATTCGCATTATTAGTATTATTAGTGCTGGTATTAGTAGTATTAGTATTCGTACTCTTATTAGTATTACGATAGTACTGGTAATCATGCTATTGTTATTATTACGCATGGTATTAATATCAGCCTTCGTAAGAGTATTACTATTACTAGTTTGAATCGTATTATTAGTATGTGTATCATTGTGCGTATTACTCGTATGTTCATTATTAGTATTCGTAGTATTATCAGTAATAGTACCATCGTTCTCAGTTTAGTACTATTCTTCTCACAATTAGAAGTATCCTGATTCTCTTTCTTTTTATTATTGTTATACTTCGTCAAATGTCTGCCATTCTTCTTATTAGTATTCGTATAACTCATCTTAGCGTTATTCTTCGTATTAGTCGTCTCATTATTATTCTTATTACTCTTCATAGTATGATCGTTACTTGTCTTATTAATTCCCTTATTAATGTTGTTATTATTCTTCTGAACATTATTATACATTCCCTTCTTATTATGATTATTATTATTCCTCCTCTTCCTCCATCCGTGGCCACTGTGGTCCAAGATGCTTGTGCAAGAGGGCATCCGCGCCCTCGTGCCAGAAGTGATACCGCTGCCACCGCGGCAATTGTCAGTCAGCGCGGCCTGCCAGCCCAAGCCAGGACCGCCCGCGCCAGCGCGCGGGCCGCCCTGCCACACGGCGCGCGAGGAGGAGCTTCACTCTACAGGTGGCCAACAGGCGAGAGGCTTGTCGGCACCATGGTTCAGGAGGGCCCCATCCTGCCAGGCCCTAAGAAGCCTACATGGGGACGCGTGCGCGCGAGGGTCATCAAGCAACTGGGCGAGCCGAATTTGCTGCTGATGCGGAGCCTCAGCCCCGACATACATCATCAACCGCACGCAAAAGGCAGCCGAGGCCCAACAGCAGCAGCGTGCTCCGTTCCGTTCAGTTGGCGGAGCGGGCTTAGGGGCAAGGCCACCCCTGCGTCATGGAGCACGGACGACAAGGCCACGCAGCAGCAGCTGGAGGCCATGTCGCTCGAGCTCAAAAAGATCAAGTCGCCCAAGTCCGAGCGCGCCAAGTCCGCGGGCAAGGGTGACAAAGACAAGGACGACAACGACAAAGGATGAGAAGCGTGAGAAGCTCCAGAAGAGGATCACAGTTTGGGAGCAGCTCACTAAGGACATTAGCCATTTTGACGAGTCGGACCCTGGACTCCCTGGATCGCGACAGCAGCTCGAGGATATTCGGTCGCAGCGTCGTGCACTTCAGCCACCTGTGTCTGCGCACAAGACTGCCCTCGCCAAGCTGGAGAAGCACCGCGCACAAAAATATCGATTTGGGAAAGAGCTGGCTGAGCACAATGCAAGGTTCCAGAAGCTCCAGAACGATATCCTCGGAAAGAAGTCCGCAATTGAGGCTAAGGCCAAGGAGATCGGCGTTTTGGAGGAGGAGGTCGAGGCTAGCGCAGCTCAGATTCGTCAGCAGCGAGGCGAAGCGCGAACTAATGATGCATTCTCCCCCCAACCACTGCTGCCCGAGGATTTCCGGCGCACGCATCTGGAGCCAACGAAGTGGCCGCCGGTCCTCACTTGGCAGAGTTGGTTAAGCAGTTGCTAAGCAATGACATGTTTGCCAAGCTTCAGAAGCTCCTGCACCCGGCCATCAACACGAAGCTCGGGAAGCCCAAGGCGGAGCAGGATGTACACATGGCTGATTCTCAGGGTGGTGATGATGTTGATGCTCACGGCGCAGGCGATTGCCCCTCCGGTGATGGCGGGCAACCTGCAACTCCTGAGGAGGGGGCATGATGCTGGAGATTCATCCGTCAAGCGTCCACCCCCCGAACTGTCGAGAGAGGAAATGAGCGAATTGTGGGAGAAGTTTCAGCGAGAAGAAGGAGTTAAGGTCGAGCTGTTGCACGGCCTCGTCAATGAGCTGCACGTGGCCAAATTTCGGCGAGAGGGGTGTTCCTAACCGCCTGCCGCGAGTTAGTGTCTCGTCTGTTGTTGGAGGCACTACCCGAGGAACTGATGCGCCCGATAGTGACCACGCAAGCACGGCCACCCTAGACCTTCATTGATAAGCAAGGAAAGCAAACGTCGAAACGGAGGTTGGGAAGAACTTGCGCGCTGGCGGCGTTAGCCCAGGAGGTCGGTTACGCGGCAGCTGATGCTGAAGAACTGTCCAGTTGGGCCGCCGGGAGAGTTTGGAATTGCATTGTGGAACCTGGGTATCCGACCCAAGGTTGTCTACCTGGTGCTCGCAAAGCTGCATTTGCGCGCGCCGAGGCCGCCCTTCGCAAAGCACCTGCCCCAGCGTTGGCAGCAAGCCGCGCACTACATGTGATCACTGATGTTCAGGGTTGGCCCGCAATCAATATTATCGATGCGCAAACCCACTGCGCGGAGGGCATGACGGCCCGAGCCGCTCAGATATTGTCTCGCACTGGTCAAGCGCTTGCGGGGCAGGTTGAGACATGCATAGTGGGGGGAGATTGGAACACGGATCCAGGCGCTGTCAATCATGCCCCCTTTCCGCCAGCGGCCCAGACTTCGCCGGATGCGCCCGCGTCGGCAACGTGTCGAACGACAGCGCCGTGTAGTACCATTGATTATGTTGGTCGTTCTGCCGCTGCAATGAGGTTGCTTCAGAAGGTTACTGTTGATTCGAAGTGGGCCATCAAACCTCATCGACCTGTGGCTTTGAAGCTTGTCGCGACTGGAAATAGGGTCGAGGTGCTATCTTATTCTGTTGCGCCGAAGCTATCCGCGCAGGCCGTCGTCGGTCCTCTTCTTTCGGATGACGATTGGTCGTCAGAGGAAAAATATGTAAAGTATGCGGCGGCTGCTTTGGAGAGAGGCCGAGACTGACTCGGCGCCGGGTTTCTTGACCTTGGCACGGGGCAAGTTCGCCACCAAAGCCGCGGCGCGCATCGCACACGCAACGGGAGCAAGCATCAGCAACGGCGGTGCCTTTGCTCGTTGCGCACTGCCACAGCGGGTGGACGTTACGCATGAAGGCGAGGATGCTGAAGGTAGTGAGGCGCAGGCTGGAATATGGAAGTGGTTGTTCGATGGTTTGTCTGGCATCCTTGCCTTGCGCAAAAGCGCGGCGGAACCCCGGGCCCGCCGCGAGATGCTTGCAAATGAGCCGATGATCTCCCAGACGACGGCCTACCCCGGCAAAACTTGTCTGCGCGACTGGACAGTAGTGCCACTCATGCGCGGAGGACTGTCCTGGGAGACTTTCATCCCGATCATGCGCGCGAGCGTCGAGGAGTGCGACGATGACACCCGCGCCAGTCAGCATGCGGCCGACGGGGGTTCTGCTTCGAGATGGAAAGGCCGGCACCAGCAAGCGCGCACGGGCGGGGCCCGCGCCATGCACATGCTCACAGCTGTCGAAGATGTTCGACAACCCACGGCGGTCAAGCTAGATAACGGTCTCTCATCTGCGCATCCGCACATGATTGTGGATGCCGCGGCCGCTGAATACTCCAGCCTTTGGGGGGCAAACACGGCGGCGCCAGTTGCGCGGGCCCCTGACAGGCCGCCGCTCCCACGAGCGACGCCAGAGGAGATTCGCGACGTCGCCAGCTCTTTCTCGACCACGACGTCGGAACGCTTGGATGGGCTTCATCCTCGGCACTTGCTTTTTCTGAGCGACTGCAATCTTACTGTTGTGAGCATCCTGGTTCTAGCTTTTGAATCATTGCGCGCGCCACCAAGCAAACACTGCGGGCCTCGACGCCGACGCCCCCCTTGCCGCAGGGGGGGGGGGGGGCGGGGGCATTGGCTCATAGCTCTGCGCGAATCAGTCTACCGCGCGCGGCAGCGACCGCGACGACCAGCTCTTGACCCACTTCAGCGCGCGTTAAGCAGGGCGCATTGGGGAGCCGCGAGCGCGGTCGTTCGACAGTCGATTCTTCACGGCGCGAGCGGCAGCACGAGTGGAAGCATGCGCCCAGCAGAGCGTAAGAGCCTGCAGGTCAGCAAGTATTACGAGACGACAGAACCGCGCGAGGCACGCGAGAAGTTCTGCAGATTCCAGGCGCCGCTCCCAGTTATAAAGTCCCCCTTCAACACGTGGTCTGCCCCGCGGACTGCCACGACGCCGCAGTCGCGCGCCCGCGCATGCTGAGAAAGATTTCACCGCCAGAGACGCGCGCGCAGACACGGGCATTC